AGTGTTCAAAAAATTCCAGAATTTAAGTGCTGGATAGAAGAGAATGCCCCAGCAATGTTTCTGAGTTGAAAAAAAAAAAAAAAAAGAAAGAAAAGAAAAGCCAGGAGAGAGCATGATATAACTAAAGGCCGGGGAAAGAGGGCCTGTTAAAGAGGCAGTGAGTGCTGCTAAGCGATCAAGGTAAATGAGAACTGGGGGGGGGAGGAAGTTCATTGAATTTCACAACATGGAGGCCAACAACCTTTACAAAATGCTTAAACTCTGCTGATACTGCATAATGAGTTTCATGCATCTTCTGAATTGTCTGTATCCTTTGCCTGACTGGAGGGGTGTGGGCTGCTTTAGATCCAGTGTAAGCTCCTGGAGGTCCAGCCACATTCTAGCTACAACCAACATGGCATTATAAACAACAAAAACATTATATGAAAAACACATTTTTGACAAGGCATTTATTACCACTTGCTTTGACATCAGAATCAACTGGGTTCTTATTGAAAAACATCTGTAATACTCTCAACAATAAAGATAACTTTTAAAAAAAAGAAAAGAAATGTGAAATGTATTTCTTGCATAATACTTGTACAATTTCTCGTAGGTATCTGATAAATCTAGATATCTGATAATTCTATAATTGAAATATATAGAATCTGGAATTTCTTCAAACCAGGGACTAATTCCTTTAATTTCTCAAGTTTTAGGTAAGTTTCTTCCTTTTGTGATAAATGTATTTTTACAGATAGATTTTTCCCCCTTTTAATGGAATATTTTGGATGTTAAATTCCTCTGAAATGCTAGAGCTTTTTAAAAAACTGCAGTCTTCCTTTCATCAAGTGTGACATTTTCCACTTTCTCTCTCTTTTTCTTAGGTACAGGGAAGGAGGTATAGATAGAAGTGGGAGGATATATATCTTTTAAAAGGTCATCCTGGGCTGGGTGTGGAAAAGCAAAAATTATGATGATCGCTTCCTCTACTTCATAGGCAGTTTAGCTCTGCTTAAGACTATCATGGGAGCCTCAACATTATAAATCCAAGGCAACTGTAATAAAACCCTGTGGTTTCTTCTTTCATATAACAGTAGCAACCACTTATTAAGCACCTCCTATGTGTCAGACACAATATTGGTGGCTTTATATATTATTTCCATAATCAAATATATCATGGTCCCCATTTTACAGAAAACTAAAGCTTTGAGTTTCTAAGTAACTTGAACAACTAGTAAGTAAGTGGTAGAGGTAGATTATGGATGCAGAACTGGTCCCGAAGCCTCTGCTCTTTTCACACCTTGCAATGTTAGTGCCTTTTATTGTTAAAAGTTCTCCTTGGGGAATGTTGGGGCTTGCACTTCCTGACTTTGGCAGCTGTTGGGAAGGACAGAAAAGTAAAACATTCAAGTGTATCTGAGGAGGCTCAACAGCACCCCTCTCCTGCACAAAATTACTCCAGGCTTGCTTATTAGATGTTCCCCACTCTGAAAATTTATATTTCAGTGTACACCAAATTGGCACTGTCCTTATTTATTTATTTATTTATTTTTATGGAACACCTGCTCTCATGTCTCGGTAGGTGGAAAGAAAGCATTTTTTATCTGTGTCAAGGCTCAGCACAAAAACAGCAGCATGGAATAAAACAATGCAACAAGTAAGATTATGTATATATGAAATTCTACCTATAAATATACTTATCACAAATGACACAAAGAAATAAGACTATATCCATAGTCTTATTATATAGTCTTATTACTGTGCTGATGCGTTATATCCAATCTTTAGTTGTTAGTTTACTTATATGAAGACCAGTCAATAGAAGGAAATTCCAGTGTGACAGAATTTTGACAACCCCTCAATGTTATCTCTTACAGGATCTAGTTACAATGTGCTCTTCCAGGAAGGATGTAAACTGTGCATATGTTTTAACCTCGCCCACCGTTACTCTCTTTTCTAGTTATACTATATGTGAGATTCCCTGACTGATGTTTTTTTAGGATCATGGAAAGAGAGGCCAGTCTTATTTCCTTATTTTTCTATACTTAAGAGTTTAAATATATAATATTCTCTTAGTAATTAAAAAAACACACAATCTAGATGTTTCTATGCATGTTTAACCAGTATTTTACATTTAGGTTGGCAGAATTTTATCAATTAGAACTATATAAATATGTATTATACAATTACATTAAGGATAAATTGTGATTTATGTGTTAATAACCTAAATTTCTCTCTTATCATTTTAATAGTGAGATATTTAAAATGTTTCTATAAATCAGGCTTTAAAAATAATACTAATATAGGAAACTGAGGTGCAATTTTTTTTCAGAATATTTTTTTAATTAAATTATTATCTGTGTACATATTTTATTGTAACATTGCCCCCCCCCCGAGGTGCAATTTTTATTGGCACTGAGTTACTGTGTTATAGAAAGAACCTAAACCTGGAACCTAACTTTAGCTCTGTTTCTTATTTACTTCAGAGAACTCCCTTCATCCCTTTCTTCATCTATAGAAAGGATAATTTCCACCCCACAGTGTTCTTATGAAGACTAAATGACATAAATATAGCAATGTTCTAGAAAGACAAAATTGTATTTAAGGGACCTTGGGCATGGTGAGGAACTGGACATCTCAGAATAATAGGGAGGTGCTTTGTATGGGGTTTGAGCAAAACATTTATTAATCATGAAGCCCAAGTTCTATGTATGGTAGGCCTTGAATATCTTTCCCCAAAATTCTAAGCCCAGACTTCCCTACTTGGGTGAACTCAACCCCAGGGCATATTCTGTGATTTTTGTCCTTGTCTCACTTCCCCCAGATTATAAAATTTGGAGAATCCATTCCTTCATCTTTGTATACTTCTTATAACTGCTCATTGGTTAAGTGCTTAATGTGTTTATAGTAGACTAGAGGCCAGGTGCACAAATTTGTGCATGGGTGAGGTCCCTTGGCCTGCCCAGGGATCAAGGTCTATTGGGGGCTGTCCAGGGGGATGAGCCCCAGGTTGGCTGGCCAGCCTCCCTATAATGGCCTATTGGGGCGGGCCGGCAGCAGGGGGCGGGGCTGCAGGAGGTTGGCTGTAGGAGTGCACTGACCACCAGGGGCAGCTCTGCATTGAGCGTTTGCCCCCTATGGTCAGTGCGCATCATAGTGTTGGTTGACCTGTCGTTCCAGTTGTTTAATCACCTGGTCACTTAGGCTTTACTGATTATATATATATATATATATATATATATATATATATATATATATATATATCATACTGATATATATATACAATAGAAAGAGAGAGAGAGAGAGAGAGAGAGAGAGAGAGAGAGAGAGAGAGAGGGAGGAAGGGAGGGAGGGAGGGAGGGAGGGAGGGAGGAAGGCCCAGTGCACAAATTTGTGCACCAGTGGGGTTAGGTCCCTTGTCCTGGCCTGCGGGATCGGGCTGAAACCGGCTCTCTGACATCCCCCTAGGGGTCCTGGATTGTGAGAGGGCCAGGCCGAGGGACCCCACCAGTGCACAATCAGGGCTGGGGAGGGACATGGGAGGTTGGCCAGCTGGGAAGGGACCCTGGGAGGCTTCTTAGTACAGGGCGTGTCTGGACAGCCCCAGCAGCAAGCTAACCTACTGGTTGAAGTGTCTGCCCCCTGGTGGTCAGTGCATGTTACAGCGAACAGTTGAATGGCCTTAGCATACCATTAACATATTGCTCTTTGAATGGTTGAATGGTGACTAGACACTTAGCATATTAGGCTTTTATTATATAGGAGGATAAGGTCCTTATACAGAGAGCTGCACATCAGAACAGTGAGTTAGGTTAGACTGAAAAGCCGTTAATGACTCATTAAATTAAAACTACTTTTAAGTTCTTCCTTCTCTCTGAAGGAAAGAGCAGTGGTGTTTTTCCTGAATGAAAATCTTAAATTCAATTGGGCCACTTAGTGTTCAGCTTAAAGCCTGAAAAGCTACAGGTGCAAGGTTTGGGGAGGGGGGGGGCGGGGGGAGAACCAACAGTTCACTTCACTTTGGTTGTGCTCCGGCTGGAACCTTGACCAGAGCCCTGGCTTTGGTCCCAACAGGAGTGCCTGTCCCACCCAAACCCCCGCTCCCCTCCCCCGGTTGTGGGGTGTGTGTGTGTGTGGGGGGTCGGCCCAGCTGTCTTCCACCCCGCAGGCCCGGCTTCTGGTCTTGAGAGATGCAAATGAAGTGGTGTGAAGGGTTGGGCTTTTTTTTCTGTTCCTTAAAATGCAACGAACAAAAAAAAAAGTACAACAATCCAAACCCAACCATCTTGCTGCACGCCGGCTTCCTGGCTGCTCCCCAGGGACAGCACCCGCGCCCGCGCCCGCGCGCTCTGGGCGGGGCCCTCTCCGCCCGCCCCGCCGGCCGTTCCCGCCGCGCGCCCCGCCCCGGCCCGCCCGCTGCAGGCCCGGCGCTCCCGCGCGCCCCCGGAGGAGCCGCGGCTCGGGACCCTCCCTCTCCCGGGAGCACCCGGCGGAGGCGGTTGGAGGCGCCGGAAGGACTCCTGCCGCCTCTCACCCGCTCCAGTCCCTGGGAAAGGCCGGACCCGGGAGGCGGAACAAAGGCGAATCCCGACCCGGGAGGCGGACCGAGGTGCCGGGGGAGGGCGGCGGGCGGGCCGATCGGCCCCACGAGTCCATTTTGCTGCCGGAGACGGGCGTCCGCGCGGCCCACGCAGGGCCCTCGGTCCCCGGAGTCCTCGCTAAGCGTCAGCCCGGGCTCCTCTCGGGGACGGTGGTCCCGGAGCTGCCGCCTGGGTGGGGCTCCTTCCGGCGCGGCGGGGGGCTGGCGGAGAACTGGGGGGCCCAGTCCGGCCGCGCGGCGGGAACCGGCGGGGCGCCGCCCGGGTGCGGAGGAGCGGCGGGCGGTGAGGGGCCGGGGCGGTGGGTCTCCTCCAGGCCCGCTAGCCCCGCTGCCAGCACCTCGCTGTCGCCTGGAAAAGAGAAGGGGCCGTGAACCATAACCGAGAAGCTTCTTAGTACAGAAATCTCCAGCCTCCCCCCATGCTCCTGGCTTTCACCAGGTCTTAGCAGACTGGTTTTGTTTGTGGGAGACAATTGAAAAAAACTGATGGTTAAGACCAAGAATCCTGTGCGAATTAATGCCTAACACCCTGTTCTTTGTTCTTTCTTTGCAGTAGCCTCCTTTGATTGTCAGTCACAACCTGGGAGAGTAGTAACACAGAAGAATACACCTGCTTGCAGGGACAGAGGTAAACTACAACACATTTCCTTACATTAAAAAAAAACCACAAAAAACAAAAACGCCGATTTTCTTTAGGCCCAGAACCTTTTAAAATTGCATAATATGTACCCGCATGGGTGACTTTTGTCTTTAAATATTTTGTTAAAACTAAAAAAAGAAAAAAAATCCCAGATTTGGGAATTCTTTATGTGCAGTTACCTGATATGTATTATAATCTAAAGGATTACATTGCAGTAGAAAAGGGAGGCTTCAGCAGCATTTTGCTTTTTTATGTTTTTTTTTCCCCCCTTCTATGCCATGCTGCTAGATTTTGTACAACAGGGCTTGAATTTTCTAACTATATAATAGATATTTTAAAAGCAGAATTTCATTTACATAGGCACTCCCTTTGGTAGAATTTGATATAGCTGTTGGTTAACAGGTTATACTTATCTTGCACAAAAAGAAGATACATTTCTTTAGGCTTTCCATCTTTCCCTGTAAACCTCCCTGCTAAGTCTTCATTTTCTACATAATGATAGGGTGGTTACCTCGCCTTACTTCTGCTACAGCTTTTATTCAGATATGCCCATTTCCAGGATATTGCTTTGTAGCTGTTATCCTTTGTAATACTTTCTATGCTCTCCCTTGAAATTACATTTCAAGTACATCTCTATTTTAGGAACATTCTTGGTTAATACACTTATGCTGGAACATAATGCTTTAAATATGTTTACAATGTTTGTAAGCGTATGTAGTTAAACCTCTATATTTACATAGTTTAGCAGTTGACAAGATTGTCACTTAATCTTTCCAAGAACATTATGAAGGTACTATAAAAATCCTTACTCTGTGAAGGGTAAAACTAATAGTTAAACCAGAGGTGAAGAAGCTGTTTTCTGCCAAGGGCCATTTGGATATTTATAACATCATTTGTGGGCCATACAAAATTATCAGTTGAAAATTTGTTTGTTATATTCGGTCAAACATTTAATTAATCCTCCCCTAATGCCTTGGCAGGACCAGACCAAATGATTTTTCTGGCCTTATATGGCTCTCCGGCCAGATGGTTCTCACCTCTGATAAACAGGTATTTAGAAGCAGGTTCATGTTCTTACCCCTATGCAGGGGAACCTGTTCCAATCTAAATTGTAAAAAGTCATAAAATTTTATAAGGAATTTAGAGAGCTCATGATTAAACTTCTCCATGTTATTAATGAGGGTACTAAATTCTTGACCCACTTCTTGGATAGTGCTAAGATGTAAGAATGGGAAAACTTAGAGATCCTGTGCCAGCTTGCTGAGTGTGATTGAGAAATCTCCTGCGGATGGGGGGAAAGGAGGTATTTCTTTTCTCACTTTTAAGGTTAGGTGCTTAGATGATCTCTAAAGTGTTTTTAAGCTCAGTACTTATATTTTATTCCTTTCTCATAACTTTTATATTTCATATATGTATCGGTAATACACTGACACATACTAATATTATACTGCCTTAAAACTGTTTTATATTTTAAACTTGGATAGATTCGGTAAAGTATGCCTTGTTTTTTTTTATTAAGCTCTATAAAAGTATGGCTCTGTTGTACGGTTAGGAACTGTATGGAGAGGTGGGGCACTCTCATCTCTGGTGAGAGTTCATAAAGTAGTGTACCCTTTCTAGAGGGAATCTTGGCAGTCTTTTCAAGAGCCTTAAAAATGATCCTAATCTTTGAGCCACCCAACAATACACTTAAAGGAATTATCTAAGGAAATAATCAGAGCTATGTACCAAGACTTTTCTACAAGATGTTCATTTAAATGTTGTAATACCAGAAAAGTAATCAATAAGATCTTATAAGATATACTTGCATGTTTTAGAAGGATATATAGTGATGGGAGAAATGCATATGGTAAAATAAGAGAAAAAAGTGGCTACAAAATTGTTAATATGTGTATGTATACAAACACACAAATAGGAAGAAATATGCCAAAATAATATTAGAAGAAATGTACCAAAATAATAGTAGCAGTTATTTCTTGCTAATTTATGAATTTTTTTAATTGCATGGATAGACTCCCCAAACTTCAGTATGGTGTCAACTTTATGTCTTTTTTATAAGGCATTAATCACAACTTTAGAGCAGGGCTGTGGAATGGCCTGCCCATGGCCCACGAAATCATTTGGTGTGCCCCTGCCAAGGTATTACAGGGGAGTTAATTAAATGTTTGACCAAATATAACAGGCTAATTTTTAAGTTGGTAATTCTGTGTGGCCTGTGAATGATGTTATAAATATCCAAATTATCCTTGGCAGATAAAGGTCCCAACCCTGTTTTAGAGTAACAGTATCTTTGTATATGTGCTATATTTCTGGATTTAGGGCAGGAATTGACATTTGGTTTATATTTAATCTTTATAAATGTTATTAGAACCTTGGACTATCCATTTTTGTTATTCATAAAAGACACTGCCATTGTCATTACTTTGGGCTGATCCTAGATTACTAGAATAGCACTAGAATAGAGTGCTGTGCCCACCTCTTACTACAGTTAACCAAATACAAGTGAGCTTTGACATTCAGAAAGTTATATTCAAGTTAAGCCTTCTATAAAACAAATTCCCATAACATGAACTCTTTCCCTCCACTCCCCATTTAAAGATATGTTTTTATTGATTTCAGAGAGAAGAAGGGAGAGGGAGAGAAAGATAGAAATATCAACGATGAGAAAGAATCATTGACTGATTGCTGTCTGGATGCCCCATACAGGGGATTGAGCCTGCAACCTGGGCAGGTGCCCTGACCGGGAATCAAACCATGACTCCTGGTTTATGGTTCAGTGCTCAACCTCTGAGCAACACTGGCCAGGCAACATGAACTCTTTTAAATTAACCTCATTATAGATGTAAATAGTATACATTTTTAAGGAAAGGCTGATAGTTTAAATAAATTATTGTATTTTCTGTGGCATAAGCATGGAGTGCTAACATGTATAATATAGCCAACCTAAAAATTGCTTTAAGCTGAGCACCATTAGCTTTCAACTTGATATATTCTGTAGAATAGTATGTGTATATCATTCTACACTGAACAAATGAACACTGTTTACACCAATTACATTTCCAATAGTCATCTCAAAAATAAGTTCTTAGTTGGTAGATGGTAATTATCAGTTATGTACGAAATGCCTATTTTCACTTGGCGCAGTGAATAATTTTATCTAATATACCTAGCTATCAATAGTTGTCTATTGAATGCTAGACTTTGGCAGCACTTTCTGAAAACTGGAATTAACCTCAAATACAGAGTTAAATGATAGAATATTTTAATATGTACCAACCTGTTGGGATAATAATTTAAATCAATGATTGCCAAGTTTATGGTTGTAAAGAAGACAATTTGCTTTATGGATAATAACTTGCCACCTTCATATAAACCTGTTCTTCTGGGAGAAAAACCAGACATTTCTGGTTCTTACAACTTCTGCAGAAGTCAGTAGTTGGAACTTAAATTAACTTGATTTGAACTATTAACAGGAAAAGATAAATAACTGGGTCTGGTTGGTACCAGAATAGGAGAATAATTTAGTCTGTATTTATATTTCTCTGCAATTCATACACATAGTTTATTCAAATTGATTTCATCTCAGTGGAGGAGAATGGGATTCAACACCATTTGGAGTCCATACAGATTTTTCAGTAATTGTACATAAATGGGATAATGATATCTATTGGGTATCTTAAAATCCTACTGATTTAATACTGGAGATTTACAGGATTATCTATCTATATAAAAGCCCAGCAACCATTATGGTGGATCGACCAGAATGACTGGTCAAGTTGATGTGCGCTGACTACCAGGAGGCAGATGCTCAATGCAGGAAATGCCCCCTGGTGGTCAGTGTGCTCCCATAGCAGGAGCGCTGCTCAGCCAGAAGCCAGGCTCAGGGCTGGCAAGCGCAGTGGCAGTGGCAGTGGCAGTGGCAGAAGCCTCTCCTGCCTCCACAACAGCACTAAGGAGCTCTGAGCCAAGCAGTAAGGAGCAAGCAGGTGGGCGGTTAGGAGCGAGGGGTCCTGGGTTACGAGAGGGATGTCTGACTGCTGATTTAGGTCCACTCAGGCCTAAACCAGCAGTCTGACATCCCCCAGGGGTCCCGGATTACAAGAGGGAACCGGCCGGTCAGAGGGACACCTCTCCCCCCATGCATGAATTTTGTGTATCGGGTCTTAGAATAATATCTTGGATAATTATCAAATGTCACAGGGAAAAGTAAAACAGGGAAGAAAGATGAAAAGGGTGGGAAATAAAAGAATATGAGGAAATTGGAGATTTTACTCATTGAAACAAGTATGAAGAAGATGAGTTAAAAGAAGAATAAACAAAGGAAAGAACCAAGGTGAAATAGTGTTACATACAAGAGAATGAAGAAAAGAGAGGGGAAAAAACACCTCCAGTTTTTCTGAGTAGTCTGAACTAGTTCGGTAATAACTAGTTTTTGAGAATATCATCTTAGTCTGAAAACTGAACTTTCTGAGTAGGTGGGCCTTCCAAGCTGGTGGACCTTCTGTACTAGCTTTATTTTGCCTTGTTTACTAGGAATCTGATTAGAAATACCTGGAGGGAAATTTCTAATTAGTCTATATGGATTCATAGTTAACTTTTGTATTGTGTTTGCAAGAGCTACATAACAGTTACATAAGCTATTTTATTTATTATTTTTTTAATCCTTACCCAAGGATTATTGATTTTTTCCCCCCCCCCGAGAAATAGAAACATTGAATGTGCCCCAACTAGGGATCGAGCCCACAGCCTTTGTGGTGTATGGGATGATGCTCCAATCATCTCAGCCACCTGGCTAGGGTAGATAAACTATTTTTAGACATAGAAATATGCAATATCTTAATTTTAATATTTTTTTTGAGATATTGGAAATCTTAATCTTACTTTGTCCTGTTTTGATTAAGTAAGTTATGAAATGGTCTGTAAAAGCCAGAATGAAGTGTAATAACACACTGACATAAAGTACTTAAAAGCTTTGTAAATAATTTTCA